ATATCCTCATTTTAACATTCAAAAGCTTTACAGGCATAAACAAAGTATAAATAACTTTGTTTATGCCTGTAAAGCTTAACAGAACACCACATTTACAGAATAATTAGCTCTCTGGTGCGTGGCGGAGAAACGATTTATTTAGCTTTGTGCAGTTGCTTCTATGATGTTCAGAAAACCTGCCCATGTATGACAGATGGCTAGGTGAAACAGACTGAAAGGCAGCGTACCAAATGTTATAAAATGTTCAAAAAGCTTTTTAATATTTTAAGCGCTGCAATTTGCTTTGCCGTGATGCTTTAACAAAAAAAAAACTGAACCAGATATCATATTAAAGAAAAAATACCGTTTCAGAATCAGGGTTCTTCTTCATAGGAGTAAGCACAAGGACCCTGATAATTAGCGAATTATGAAACGATGTTTTTTTTAATGCATTTTCATTGCCCAAAATGATGTAAGGTTGTTAGCGAATCGATTAATGCAATTAATACGATCTTCTCTCCTTTTGGACTAAGCCTCTGATATGCATTAGGCTTGTTTGCCTTAAATTTAAAAGGTTCATTTTAAAGCTTCTTCCTGTTTGCAGATAGCTTATCTGTAGATTTATGATTGGTATCCTAGGAGACGTAACAGCCTAGTTTCGGTCTGCCTGATAATAATCCTCAAAGTTTATCGCAACAGATGTCAAGGTCAGGTAATAAATTTCCTTTAAAAATATATTTACTGTATGTACATTTTCAACTTTAGATTGCCGTTATTAGTTGTGTTGCTAGTTAGGATGACTGAAAGAACTGACGAAAAAAGAAATGTGTGGGTGAATGCCCTAGCAATTAAATAGCTTCTCTTCATGGTAAAGTTCTGCTGTTATTTTTCAGTTTCAAACTTTATTTCCCATGGCACATTTCAAGGAACACATCCTTTGTGTATTTCTTTATATTAAATATGGATACAGAAAAAAAGTATGAAGTTTTATTAAAATATACGTATTCCTTTTTAAACAAGGTAGGTCAATTAAGAACACGTTTTCATTAACAGGGACGACATGGAGACACTTATACAGAAGGGTATTTACTGGAGCAGTGGGACCGAGATGCTTGCTCAACGGAACAACAGCAGTTATAAAACACACCGAATAATGTTACTGTGTGTTAAATGGATACGTTAAAGAGCTGCCATATGTATAATTTGTACAAAAAGACGAAAATACAGCTGTTCAGAAATGTACGGTATCTGTGCCAAAGCATTCCTTCTGTTTCAGTCTAACGTCCTTAAAACCTATATGGCAAAAGTACAATTTGATATCTCATTGATCTCATGATATCTCAACCAGGATATCAGTGTTCTTTCTAAAAGTGGTAGTCAGGTATACTGTTTACATCTTAACACATCATCCAGCTCTGAAACGTGTCATATGATTTTAATTTAAAATAATTGAAACCCCTGAACCCATCTCAGAATTAATTTTACTTCACTTATTATTTTTCTATATATAAAAACAGATTAATAACATCTGTACTATGTCGGGATATTTCGCCTTACGTTTGAAAGATTCCTGTTTATTTCCAAGGTCTGTGCACAAATATTGCTTATGGTTGATTTCGTTTTTGTATCTTGCTGTTTGCTGTCTTGACACAAACCACAGTCTATGACACAACACTTGACAAATGGCCTATGTCTTATAAAAGTTGCAACAAAAATGTGAGATTAATATAGATCTTCCTTTTGACGCATTAGTGATGCACTACGAGAACGTCGGAACAAATTTCTTTTTTTAAAAAAGTGAATGTTGCAAAATAATCCATTAGGGAAAGTTCACAATATTAATTTATTTCCTTGAATCAATAAAACTGTTAATAACTGTTAACATTTGCAAGGATAATCACCTTGTTACAATGGTACCCAGGGAAGGGTTCGTCTTTGTATAAACATCACGGGTAGGCATCACAAACGAATCGATTTAGGTTTTATTATGTTTTATAAAGATGTATAAAAAATAACTTCCTAGCTATAGTGTACAGTTGTACAGTTATCATTGGAAGGTTTAAGCTTTTATTGTTTTTACTTCCGCAGGAAAAAAAAAAACAAAGAATAATTTTAATTTCAAAGATAATTTTCTTATTTTGGAACACGAATGGGTACCACTGAAAAACGGCTCCGCTGCTAGGGCACTCTTGGGTAATGATTGATAGATTACCCAGGTCTACAAACGAATGGCTCTGCTAGGGTAAACTGCCATTCAAGTACATGACAGTTCGTCCTGCGGCTTGAACGAGTGCGTAAGAAAGCAAGCCACACGCCTGGTCTTACCTAGATGATCACCTCTTCTTTGAATATAAAGAAATAACTGTCTATCTCTTGACAAAATACCGAAGGCCATTAAGTATGAAGTTAAGTTTTTTGCACTGTCTTGTCCTTTCTTTCGAAGTCCTGAGAGTCGCTGGAGGTCCAGGCGCCGGACAAAACACCTGGGAAAGGTTTAACAAACTCCCCTTTCCAGAGGATGAAGCCTTTCTTTATAGCACCTTTCCAGAGGGTTTCATGTGGTCCGTTGGAAGCGCAGCTTATCAGAGCGAGGGGGCTTTTGAAAAAGACGGCAAAGGTCTGTCCGTGTGGGACACTTTCACCCGGGGTGGCAACAGGATAGCTACAGGAGACGTGGGCAGTGACAGTTACCACAACATCCACGGAGACATTCGTGCCCTCCAAAAACTGGGGGTTTCGCACTACAGATTTTCGTTTTCCTGGCCACGTATATTCCCCAATGGGACTCGCAGCAGCTTTAATGAAGCCGGGGTGAGTTACTACAGAAACCTTATTCAAAGACTGAAGGAAATAGGAGTTCAGCCAATTGTTACACTGTACCACTGGGACCTTCCGGAGAGTTTACAACGTACTTACCAAGGATGGATCAATCCGGTTGTAGTGGACTTTTTTAAAGATTTCGCCGATTTTTGCTTCAGAGAATTCGGGGACGATGTTAAATATTGGATCACTATAGACAATCCTTTCGTTGTGGCTTGGCACGGATATGGCACCGGTTTGGTTGCTCCTGGCATGAAAGGTGATCCAGGGCTGCCTTTCAGAGTGGGTCATAACCTCCTGAAGGTAATGCACACATTCAGTATTTCTGATTTTCTTTTTTGAAAGTACTTAGGGGTTATGATGACTGTGGCGTAGTAATAAATTCCTGCTTAAACACTGAATTGAAAATGTTGTTAATACTGTACAAGCGTTTTGTAGATCCAGTTTTATAAAATGCTTAAAGAGAACTGTAGTGGCTTACAGAACGCAACGAGAAATTGTATTACATTATTTAATTATTTCACATTATATATTAATGTATTATTAATGTGTGAGATGCCTTTACTGTATGGCATTATTTAGTTTCTTTTAGTAGTAACCATACATATTGTAAATTACAAACCTCGGGCACTGTACACCTACTTTGCTTTCAAAGACTGCGGCTACACAAGAGATGGTTTTCAAATAGCTCCCAAGCGTGAATCTTGAAAAAGCAGCCGGACAAGCTGAAACAGCTGAGGAAATATACTAGGATCACATTGAAAGAGGTTTCTTACTGAATGTAAAACACGATCCAGATAAGGTAAACAATTAGTAAAAGTATTAGTACCAACGGGAGCGTACTGTAAATCGATTCTAGAGGAAGTCGAATTTAAAAATTGAAACAAATTTAAACTTAACAAAATTTGTTAGAAAGTCATGACATTAAGAAATCTGCAAACCTTTTGCTTGCTGAGTCACATGTTAAAAAAACCCTCAAACCCTCAAATCACATAAGATGCAAAGAAAGGTCACCTGTTATAGACATACTTACTGCATATGAGGAGGTGTTATCAATTAGCGAAACGTTATTGTAATTAGGTAAGTACGATAATTGTAGAACCATGCTGTTGTTGCTTAAATGTAGATTATTTGTTTTTGGAAATTAACCGATAATCAAAAAATGTGCGCCATCTGAGTTACTGGTAGTTTCATTATTGGAAAAATGCCATCCTCCTAACACAAGAGCCTTCCGAATGTTGGCCGCTTTTGTTTAAACTACATCTGTAAGTTAGATGTGACTGTGACCCCTCAGTAATAACGACATTTATTATTAGAAGGTGAATGATGGCCGTTTTATGCGATTTATAAAACATTACACTACTTCTCGACATTATTATGTATCATTCATTTCATTTTTAGTTTACATATAGATGCTTCATCTAAACACTGATCGTTCTGCATGCCGGAGTCTTCTCTGCCTGAAGACATGACTCACTCGAATATGCCAGGAACCTTAGCTGTTGATGATGTGAGTGATCAGTGAGGGAAACGAGCCTTTTCCATTCTCTCTCCTGGTGCAAGATGTCTGCTTGAAATCACATTAAATATTCTCTCTATCCAGTCAGTCATATTCGACCTCGTATTAAGGTAGCAACACATCCTGCTGCGTGCCTCAGAATTTGATCAGGTTAGCAGGCAAGATAGACTGAGACCCATCAAACTGCACTTTGTCCCAAAGGCAGCGCTTGATCATTTGAGATTATGATCACAAGGCAAAAGTCTAAAACTGATTTAGGCATAATATGCATGCTCTCAATAAGGCTATATTTCACATCTGTAATAAGCGTAGACAGTATCTTCACCTTGCTTGGACTCATATTATAGAAACAGTAGGCCTTCATTATTACTTTTGTGTATGCCTAAAATATAATGTACAAGTAAGGTTTTTATATTGTGTATACATTTGGGACAGCACGGTGACGCAATGGTTTGCATTGCCTCCTTCTACTGTAGCACTGGGGCCTTGGAATGATTCTGGATCTGGGGTGCTATCAGCTATAGCACCTGTGCTGTGCTCTACCTGTGTTTGCATGGGGTTTCCCCTAGTGCTCACATTTCCTCCCAGTCCAAACACATAGGGGTGGGTTAATTTTGGCCCTATTGCCAGTGTGTTTATTCGAGTGTGTGCCCTACAATGGACTGGCATCCCATCCAGGGTGTACCTTGTCTTGCACCTGTTTGTTTCCAGGGTAGGCTCTGACTGCCCCCTGACCCTGAATTGGATAAAGTGGTTAGAAAATGGATCGATGTATACAATAGATTTTTTTAGTATGTTAAAGACATTATAGCCAGTAAGTACAGTACATGATCAAGTTATTTCGTACTGTTTTAGGGCATGATAGGAATTAGTGTAATTTTTGTGGTGTTTTCTCTTTCATGGCAGGCACATGCTGCTGTCTGGCACCTTTATGATGAGCAGTACAGGCCGAAACAGGGCGGCCAGATCTCCATCGCTCTGGCCTCCCACTGGATAAGACCCATCAAGACCCGAAGAGAGAGTATCCAGGCCTGCCAGTGCTCTCTCAACTTTGTCCTGGGCTGGTTCGCCAAGCCCATCTTCACAGACGGCGACTACCCGCTGTGCATGAAGAGCAACCTGTCCTCCAGGCTGCCCTCTTTCACCGAAGAAGAGAAGCGCGCCATAAACGGCACCGCGGATTTCTTCGCCCTCTCTTTCGGACCCGTTCTGAGCTTCCATCTGATTAACGAGAGCCTCAAGTTCGGGCAGACAGAGGATCTCGACCTGCGCAGGCTGCTCTATTGGATAAAGGCTGAGTACGACAACCCCAGGATCTTCATCGTGGAGAATGGCTGGTTTGTTAATGGCAACACCAAGACGGAGGACCCCAAACACATGTACTACCTGAAAAGGTTTATCATGGAGACCCTAAAATGTGAGTCCGAGGGGCAATAGGAACAAGTAATAGGTTTATTCCATGCTGAAAAGAGAAGGAAAGAAACATGTTTCGGCTGTGGAGTCTTCTTCAGGTGTGATGTGTGAAGAGCCTGAAGATGGGTCCACAGCTTGTGTTTTTCTTCTCTTTTCAGCATAGAATTAACTTTTACCTGTTCCTTGGCAGCCACCCATCTGAGCTACTTGAACCTAATCATAGTTAATTCAACACCATGGTTGTTGTAAAGCATAACTTTAACATGATAGCCAGTGGGAAAATGACCTGACCTGCTGAATATCATAGCAGCAATGCCGTAAATTCAGTTTCTGAACTGTGGTAATTATCTACAGTATAAAAAGACTTCCTTACAAAATGTAGTTGTCATTTTCATCCAGTCTAGTATTTTTCTTATTGATTAGGTAACATAGGAAGGTGTTTTATTTCACTGCTGAGAAACAAGTGATATATTACAGTGCATCAAATGAAATGTAGAATTTTTTTCATGCACGTAAGTTTTTACGAAAGTAAACTAAATAGATTTTGGATATTGATTGAATGTGTATGGTGTCATATGGTTGTCCATGACTGACTGTAATATACTAGAGTGACTCTGTTGCATAAGCACTAATTTACCTTGTTAGTAAGACAGTTGGGAACAGGATCTGAGGTGAGGTATCCTGTTGAATATCATCAGGAAATCTTGAGGTCCAGCTTGTACTGTGCCCAACTGTGTTATTTGTGGCCATGTGTTATTTGCCTGTGACCTTCACAGCAGACCCCTATTGATGAGAAGCATTATAATGAACTTACCCATGTCATGTCAGTTCAATAAAACGTTGGTTCTTCTGCTACAAAAACAATTCTGTGATTTTCCTGATAACAGCATGAATCTGTTGCCGTTCTAAGTGCTGCATTTCTTTTGATGCTCAGTATACCATACATTAGATGCAAATAGGAATGACTAGATGAAGACTGAATTAGAATTCTATGGTTTGTTCAATAAAGTGTGGGAAACTTTACAGTAGAGAAACATTGTTGGAGGTAATCTGCTATTTTGAATTGTTATTTAGCATTTCTTTATGAATTATGAGAAGTTCAGACATTCATATGGCCTGTTGGGACTACATCACTATTCTTTATTATCACTTAACCTTTATTGCAGATACAGGGCCTACGTCTTAGCTATTGTGACTCAAAACATGGTTTCTCTTTTTCTGTAGCAATAACGTATGACAACGTTCGAGTGATGGGCTACACTGCCTGGTCTCTGGTAGATGGCTTTGAGTGGTCCAGGGAGTATGGCATTCGCCGGGGTTTATTCTATGTGGATTTTGACAGCCCAAATTTGAAAAGAGAGCCCAAGACCTCAGCCTTATTCTACCAGAAACTGATTGAGAAAAATGGCTTCCCTCTGCTGCCGGAGAACATGCCTGCCACAGGAGTTTTTCCCTGCAACTTTGCCTGGGGTGTAGCTGCCAACTCCATACAGGTAGGTAGATATTAACAGGAGTTTTGAGTGTGTGTGTAATGCTGAAAATCTAGATAAACACTTTTAACATATGATCTCCCCCACAGCTGAATAAAGTCGGTATTTTAGCGGAAAACATGCATGAAATTTCCTTTATTGACTCACCAACTACAGTGTACTAAGAGGAATGAGTGATGAATGCGGTCTTTTAGTTCATTGGTCCTGGGATAAATTTGAAAAGGAGCTTGGAACAAATCATTTGGAACTTGGCATTACTTTATACCAGAGTAAGACAATTTTTTAATAATGTAATGGGATAATACCATAAGTATAACAATGCTATTTAAAAGTTTAGTTCTTTTACTCATAGTAAGCAAGCTTATATGAGTACTCTCTTTGCCAAGGCTTCAGAAATTATACCTTCATGGATAATTAGATGGCTCTTGAAAATAGCATATTTTTAAATTTTATGGTCTTGTGGAACATTATAGTACAGATAAAGTAGGAAGTTGTTAGACTCACCTTCAGGTTCAGTATTGATGTTCCAAACAAAATACAATTACCAACAACAGCTGTGAATGTGTTAAGCATTGGTTTTACAGGAGGATTTAAAACATATAGTAATACAATTTAACACATATTGTAATAGGTTAGAACATGACCTGGTTGTTTGAAAATTAAAAATAAATAAATAGCAGCTCATCACAGCACTGTCGGTAAGCATGGGATGGGCAAGGATACTTTGTTGAGTCACTAAAATTTAGCTTACTCGGTCAAATGCAAAGAGCGTTAAGGGCAAAAGCCTTTATTTGCATATAGTGAGACTTTGCTGTCATGAATAGAGCTATTGAGAAATAATTTACCGAAATATTCTCTGGGTTTGAACTTTTGGAATCTCAAATTCTTATCTGACTTCATCTCTCAGTTTCTTAGAACTTCAGCACTTATAACTTTTTGTAGTATTCTGTGACTGCAGTACGTCAGCTTTATAATAATCAGGAAAGTTAGGTTACACTTAATGTACATTTCTGACTTTAACATAATTTAGCACAGATCAGTTATTCACATCAATTGATGGCTGTTAAAAAGTGGCTTCTGATTACCTTCATACAAGTAAGTCTGTGATTAGTCTCTTTTTAAGAAGACTCACAAAGATAACAAAACACATTGTTCTAATTGAAGGAAAAAAATATCATTCACACAGACTTTTTTTTTCTCGGTAGACGTTTAGTGAAAATATATATGATGCCTTTTAAAACACAAACAATTGTACTCATCTGCAATGCACTCTACCATATTGAAATTATGGTAATGTAGTGAGGTACAGTTCAATTGTGGTAATTAATTAATAGGCTGGATGCACATACCATAACTGCAACATAAATGCAGTTTACATCTGGAGAACTGTATGAACAGCATACAGCTGTGGCAATTGTGTTAGTGTTGTGGATGATTCAGGGTTATCTATCCCTTTAGCTGCAGGTAGAGAAAAATGTGTTATCTGATTGATCACAGATAATAATGACCTGACCTTTACCACAACCTTGCTGGTATGTTTAAAACTTTTCCCAGGAGAGAAAAGGTTTAATACCCCTCTCACTCACATTTCGATCCCTTTTTATCGCAAACTGTAGAATCAGAGAGAAGCTGCTGAATAACTTTATTTTCTTTGTATAAACTGAATGACCCCAGCAGAATCGAAAAACAGGAGCATCTTTCTGTTTGTTTGATTTGACTGCACTCGTGTGTATCTGAGTTCATTTACCTCAGTGTGGAGATGTAAAAGGAGGAGAGTTAAACAGCCCACCTGAAACATATTGTAGAGGTCTATGAAGATCACACAGTGTACAGATCCAAAGATTTTCCCTTTACCTGTAACTTTTATATTTGGAACTTCACTGGATTGAGCATGTTTCCAAGTGATGTATCTCATTTCTTTTGTAAGAAATATGCAACATCATTTAAATTAGCTTGCTGTAGAATACAGTGCCCCAAACACTTTTTGGATGTTGTTGCATTAATTTAAGGTGTAACTATTTGTAAAAGACAAATTGCCATTCCCTGAGATACAAGCAATAGAGGGACTAGCTCAGAGCTCAGGTTATGTCTGACTCTGACTTCAGCCCTGACATCATTAGCTGCAGCCTGGATCATACCACGTGTTAACAGTGACAAGAATCCCATGGTGGGGACTTACATTTAACTCAGTGCTGCTGTTTTTTATTTTTTATTTTGGAGAACAAAACAAAACCATTTTACAAATAAACCATAATTATTCAGCCTTACTTTTACAATATACTTTCAACTATACATCACAAGCAAAAATGGTCTATTCCTGTTTCTTCCCCTAGTAGTTTACAATTATATAACTTTTAAACAAAACTATATACATTCAAAATTAGAAAGATGTATACATTTATGAATATGAAAAGGGAGGAGACTATATAAACGTACCTTATTAATTTTCAGTTATTTTGTATCTCAACAAACTCCGATCTTAAAGGTTTAATGTATTGAACCCATCTAGACCAATTTTTTACACTTTTTTTCATTTGTACTTTTAGTGAAAATGTTATTTTTTCCATAATATATATTTCCTTTATCAATTCAATCCAGTCATTCATTGTTGGTAAATCTGGGAGAAGCCACTTTCTTGTTATAGCTTTCTACCCTGCTGATATAAGGATTCCAAACAAATATCAGATCCCCTCCAATCAAAGTCCAGTTTGACAAAATATAAAGCCTCAAATGTAAAGGGTACATTCCTTTCAAATATAGTTTCCAGGGCCTCATGTAACTCCTTCCAGAAAAGCCTTATTTTAGAGCAGTTCCAGAATATATGCCAGTGATGCTGCTGGATATTTCTATCGTAGTAAGTTGGCCAGAGTTCCTTTGGTTCACACTGAAACAGTGATCCCATGGACTGGGCCACTGCTGGCTCACAGCAGTGAGGGATGTGCCTCTCCTCCAGTCGGCACTGACATTTTTGGAAATCTTTGTGGAGCTTGTAGTATATCAAAAGAAGAATAAGTAAATGAGTGTGTGTCAGTGCTGTCAGCCCTTCTTTGTTCCTTTTATCATTACAAGGGTAGTCACTGAGACAAAAATGACAACTGCCTAGTACAAATTGAGCATGTATATAATCACTTCCAGTTTATAAAAAATATAGAAGCATGTGAATATGTTTTTTTTTGTGTCTTGTGCTGGTTTTGTTTTCCAGGTGGAGGTGACCCCCTCTCAGTTCATTGATCCTAATGTTTATATCTGGAATGTATCAGGGAATGGGGAGTTGAAGAAGCTAAGCGAGGCCAGGGTGTCATCCCGTCGCAAAACACACTGTTCAGACTATGCAGCTATCCGGTACCAGGTCTCTCAGATACGCAGGATGCATGTCTCTCACTTCCACTTCTTCCTCAACTGGTCATCCATCCTCCCCACGGGCAAAGTGTCCGAGGCCAACACAACCCTCCTGGGCTATTATAAGTGCTTTGCCGCTGAGCTCCTCCAAGGAAATGTGACTCCTGTTGTCACTTTGTGGCACCGTACTGCAAAGCACTCTGGGTTGCCTGCCTCAATGGATGCCAAGAAAGGGTGGCAGAGCATGGAGACAGTGCTTGCCTTTGTCAAATACGCCAGGCTATGTTTTAAACATCTAGGGGATCATGTTAAGATGTGGATCACCCTGAACGAGCCCAACATGGGAAACCCTGAATACATGGTTGGCCATCATCTCTTGAAGGCCCATGCCCTGGCTTGGCACGTGTACGACAAAGAGTTTCGGGAAGCCCAGAAGGGGCAGGTGTCCCTCACTTTGCATATGGACTGGGTGGAGCCGGCCTATTCCTTCTCCCGGGATGACGTAGAGCCAGCCATCAGGGTCCTGGATTTCCGCATTGGCTGGTTTGCAGAGCCCATATTTGGGGACGGGGATTACCCAGAGGGAATGAGGAAATGGCTCCAGCAGCGCAATACCCTAGACTTGTTCGGCTACCACCTCCCTGTTTTCAGTGAGAAAGACAAGAAGCTTGTGAGAGGGACCTATGACTTCTTTGCCTTAAGCCATTTCACCACCACGCTGGTCTTTGAAAGGGTGGAGGAGAAGTTACATTATGACGACAAGCTCGAGGTGCACTACTTACTGGACAATACCTGGGTGAGGTCTCGGGGGAGAGTTCCTGTAGTGCCCTGGGGCCTGCGGAAGGTGTTGAACTGGGTGAAGACCAAGTATAAAAACGTGCCCATCTACATCATGGCCAACGGAGTGGATGAGGATCAGGCCCGGCTGCAAGATAACCTCCGCATTTACTACATCTACAACTACATCAACGAAGCGCTCAAGGGTAAGTGGTACCTGAAACTCGCAGGCCGGTTATTTTCCAGGAGCCTCTTTTTGATGTAGATGTCAC